TCTCTCTCTTTCTTCTTCTTCTTCTTCTTCTTCTTCTTCTTCTTCTTCTTCTTCTTCTTCTTCTTCTTCTTCTTCTTCTTCTTTCTTCTTCCTTCTTTACTAGCAATACAATAAATAGTTCTTTATGTTCAGCTAGTAGACTGACTCTTCTGCCTTACCTGCTGCTTTGGTGATTTGAGAATTTCACGAAGACTCAGCCTGAGAGTTTACCGCCCCTAAGAAGCCTCTCTTAAACTTCAAGTTGGACTTTAGTGTTCAGAGCACTACACTCTGATAAGCATGTAGATTAGTTCATTGATTTTTGGAGGTCAATATGGAACACTAAACCAATGAGTTGGATAAAAATAAAAATTCATATCCTTCAATCCAGGGATTACACTTTAGGAAATCATTTTAAGAAAATAGATGAATGCCAAGGGTATATACATGAAAATTTTCATTATCATGTTGCAGAATTTTAAGACATGAGCCAGGCAGAGAGCTCAGTACCTTAAGCACCTGCCTGGCAAACACAAGGTCCTGAGTTTGATCCCCAGCGTGAGGGCAAAAAAAAAATTTAAGAGATAAGAGAGACCTTTTGGGACACAGGAGGATTTTATTAGATGTACTTGAATCAAATGGTCTTGTGCCCAAAAGACTGGGTAAGAACAGAGGAAGGACTCCAAACTTCATATCTGTGGTGGGGGTCAGTCTGCCACAAAGAGGTGAGATTACAAAAAAGACAGCTGTTCATGTGGTGGCACTTCTGCACCTTGGGAATCTTTGAAGGTGCAGGATGCCATAATGCCCGTTGGAGTTACAGAACTCTTTCTTCAGGAATTCAACTGTCATTAGGAACAGAGCAGCCACCAGCCTTGAAGGAAAGCAGATCTTGTTGGGAACAGGATGCCATCGACTGTCTCTGCAGGAGTGTGGTTGCTAACCTTACATATAATTTATTTATTTATTTATTTATTTATTTATTTATTATTTTTTTGGCAGAACCGGGGATTGAACTCAGGCCCTTGTACTTGCTGGGGAAGCACTTATTCCACTGAGCCATCTCCCCGGCTCCCTTACATATAATTTAGCAGAAGTATGCTCTACCAGGGAAGGGAGTTTGGGTATGATCTGCTCAGGCTTGGTGTCCTTGTGATTTCTGCTTTGATAATATTGTTTATAATACCAGATAATAAAAAATAACCTAATTTTCATATAATGGGGATGTGTGGAATAAATGTCAGCAGTAACAAACCAAACTGTAAAAAATTAAGTAGATCTCTATATATTGATAATCATATCCTATCATTAATTTTTAGATGATTCTAATAGTAACAAATATATAGCTTATATAATAATACTTATTGTATTAAGTATGTATTATATTTAGAAAAATGGAATCACTGCAAATCTTAACACTGGTTATCTTAGATATGATTGCAGAGGTATCTATAGTTCCTACTTTGGGGCCGGGAAGATGGCTCAGTAGGATAAGTGCTTCCCTGGCAAGCACAAGGGCCTGAGTTCAATCCCTGGTTCTGCCAAAAAAACCCAAAATCAACCAACCAACCAAACAAACAAAAATAGTTCAAAAAAAAATAGTTCCTACTTTTTGGTTGTTGTTGTTTGTCTTGTTGAGACAGGATCTTACTATGCAGTTCAGGCTGGCCTTGAGCTCACTTTGTAGCCCAGGCTGGTCTTGAACTCACAATGATCCTCCCACCTCAAGCTCCTGAGTGCTGGGATGACAGGTGTGCACCACTACTCCTGGCTTATACTTCCTACCTTCAACACTACTGTTTAATATATCTTGCCATTAACACGCGTTTTCTCTTTTCATTTAAAGAAAACTAATTGGTCTTTACTTATAGTTACATAGTTTGTAAGAACCTGAAAACAATCTAAATAACTATCAACATGCTATTGAATGAACAGATGATAATATTTCACTTATATAGCATTCACAGGGAATAAATTCACACTGAAAGATGAATTTTATATTTTCCTCTTCTTTTCCTCAGCCCAAGGCCCACTCTGCAGAGCCCATTTTTCCCTTACCCTCCTGGGTTTTTTCCTATCTTTAACAAATGTGAAACTTTACCATCGTTTGTTTCATTCAATTATGTGCTCAGGACAGGAAGAACCTAGAACCCACCTGTTATGGTTTGTGTATAGTTGTCCCCCCAAAGTCTCATGCAGTCTTGGGGTGGCCTCTGGAGTTTGTGACTGATTACTGTGGATGTGGATGCTGTAACTGTGACCTAAATAAACCTTTCCTTCCTTCATTTTGAGTGTGGGGTATTTGTCCTAGCAATGAGAGAAGAAGAACTAAGACACCACCCCAGGAGACTGCAGGTCCCAAAAACCCAGGAATATTTAGCTTAGCCAGCCAGGAGGTTTTCAAGAGACTTGTAGGGAGATGGTGCCTAATCTCCCTCCCATCGAGCTGAATGGCCTTTCTGGGAGGAGGAGCTGAGCAGGCTATCCATCCCTCCAGTCTGTGGGGATCTCCTTTTATGGGGACCAGTGGCCAACATTCTAAAACTGTTGGTTGTATCAGAGCTCACATTGGAGTCAGACTTGAACCAGTATCTCAGTGTCACAGGCTGTGTGACTCTGTCTCTTATGCAACCTGTATCTTCATTAATGAAGTAGAGGTAGTGGAAACCTTAACAGAAAATACCCAAGCCCTGCAAAACAAGACAAGATTCATCTCAACTCAATGTTGTACAGACAACTTTCCAGGAATATGATTTTTACATAAAAGAAAGCCCCTAAGGGCCTCCATTTTAATTCTCATTTCTGTTCCACTTGATTCTTTTTGGCTTTGGTGTATTTTTATTATTGTCATTCTGTTTTATTTTGTTGCTGTGTTTTAGACAAAGCCTGACTAATTTTCCCAGACTGGCTTTGAACTTGCAATCCTCCTGCTTCAGTCTCCTGCTAGAATTTCAGGTGTCTTCTGCCATGCCTGGCTCCACTCTTCTCCTTCAGAGGTGCCAGGGTTTGTTCTGTATGCACCGAGACCTGGGAGAGAAATAAGTATCTCAGAGTAGTAGGAGCAGACAGGGCCACTGTAGTGCCAGGGACAGTGTTGGTACACTGGGTCCAGGCCAGGAACAAGTAATGTCAGCTCTCCTCAGATGAAGACTTCACAAGAGCCATTGTGGAGGAGAACTTGGGGATGTTGGGAACATGGAAGAAGCTAGGGCACTTAGTTTCCTGCTCAGTGACCTTGGGCCAATTACTTCACTTCCCCTTCCTCAGATTTCTCATCTATAAAATGAGAACGAATACAGTAGCACTCACCTCAAAGGTATGTTCTAAACTCCAACAGAAATCACCATACAGAGAGTGTATGGGTACCTGGCACATACTAAGTACTCAGAAATCATATGTACATTTCACTGGCATGCAAGGATCAGGAACAAGGGGGCAGCTTAGGCAGAGGAGTTCACTGGACATCTCCAAGGCCTCAAGATAGGAAGTGGGGGAGGGCAGACACTGAGACACTGCAGTGTTGACTGAGAAACTCTGTAGGTGAAAGAACCATCTGGTTGGAGGGGCCAGGGAGATAGTTCAGTAGAAAAAGAGCTTGCCTGGCAACTGCAAGGTCCTGAGTTCAATCCCTGGTATCACAAAAATAAATAAAAGAATCGGGGCTGGCGAGATGGCTCAGTGGTCTAAAGCACCTACTTGGAACAAGCTTGGCAGAGCACAAGGACCACGGTTCAATCCCCCAGCACCACATGCCAGCCAGCCCCGCCCCCTGGTGGGCTGAGCTGGCCACACACACACACACACACACACACACACTAAATAAATAAATAAATAAATAAATGTTAATAAATAAAAGAATCATGTGGTTGGGCCTGAGGGTTTTTTCAATCAGCGACATTAATCAGAAGCCAAATATTCAAAAGGGCTGTTATGGTTTTATTGTTGTTGTTGTTGTTGTTTTGGTTTTTGTTTTTATTTAGTA